TACTGATCGGCGGTAGTGATCATCTCACCAATCCCCTTTGGCGGCTTACGGTTGAACTTGGAGAGGAGGTCGCGGTGATGGAGTCCTCGGATGAAGGTGGTGATGACTTCTGCTTTCGTGATGTTGGGAATAGAATTCCTCATCTCGGAAAAGCGTCTGATGTAGCTACGGAGGAGCTCGGACGGTTTCTGATAGATGCGGTTCAGATCATGCTTGGTGCCCGGTCGAGTATACGTAGCCATGTAGTTGTCAGTGAAGACCTTGAGCTGTTCCCAAGATTCGATGGAGTCCGGGGCGAGGCTGGTGAGCCAGTTCATGGCGGTTGGCGTGAGCATGACGGGAAGATAGTTCGCCATGACACTGGTATCTCCCCCGGCGACGCGCACGGCGGTGGCATAAGCTTGTAGCCACTATGTGGGGTTCATCTGCCCCTCGTAGGGCTCGACCCCGGTGATTTTGAAACCACGGGGCCACTGGAGTGTTCGGAGTGCCCTCGTGAATGCTCGGGGCCCTTCGGGATCGTCACCGTCGTGCTCTGCGGCGTTGCCGGCGTTGAGTGGCTGGAGGGTAGCATCCGGATCGTCGAATTCTTGCTCATACTCTTGACGTCGGCGTACTTCTTCATGGCGAGAGAAACGGCGCCCGTCAATATGACGTCGCGCGTCCCGAAGATTGTTGATGTGCGCTCGGGCATCTTGTTCGACCTCTTGGTCGTGTTGGCGAGGGTAGTCGATGCAGTTCCCCCTAGCTCCCCCCTGGAGGGGTTGTCCTTCATCACGCTGTTGATCGGTGAAACGGCTTCTGCTGGGGCGGCGATTGGATCTTGGCGCGGCGGATCGGCGAATCGAACTTGTCAAGTAGGAGGGTCTCTGATCCTGGCGAATGTCGTTGACCTGGCAGTGCGCTGCTTTGAGCATTGCGGCGACCTTGGCGACTTCTGGCGTTTGCTCGAGCCGAGCGAGCTCATTAGCAGCCACAGCCAAGTTGGCGTTTGGGGTCCTGTAGACGTCGTGGCCGTCGACCCGGACGAATTCGTCGTCGAGGTTGCGTTGGAGTGGGCGTGGCCTTCCTTGCGAGTCGAGCTGTTCGTTGCGAGCAGCCTCGGCTAGTACAATAGCAGCCTCATTCGCTCGGCGCTGCGCATGGTTGGCGTTTCTGTTAACGCGAGTCGCGCGGTCCTCCTCGGTTTCTCCATCCCGTGGAGGGCTGTCGACGCTGATGTTAAAAATTCCGCCTCCTCGGAAGGGTGGAAAAGGAGGTTGTACGGTGGTGGTTTCAACGACAGTCTCCGTAGAGCCTTGGGACTCGGAGTCTGGATTTTCCTCGGGATGGTTTGGAGGGATGCTTCGGGACATCGGCCGATCAGCAGCATATTGACCGTCGGCGAGAGCTGGTTGGCGATCGGATCTGCGAGAGGATCGATGTCTCCCACCTGGTCGGTGAATTTGCCCCTTAGGGCATCTTGATAGGTGGCGGTGATGCTGGTGAGCCCGAAAGGTGGGGCTGTAACCCCTGGAGTTTCCTGATCGGCCTCCGACGGATTAGAATCGAGGGTGGTCGGCGCTGAACCAGAGTGGTTAGAGCCGATCAAAATCACATATTTTTTGTATTGCAAATCTGTCAGTTTTTTGTTGGTGACGTGTTAGCTGTTGATTTGTCTAAAAGTTGGCAAATTTCTGGTTGCAAAATCTGTCGCCAGCTGTATAGACTGACCCATAAAATATACATAGATTTTTTCATTATCTTCTTTCACAATGGCTTCCCTCGAATCTCGGAGCCAAGGTTTAGTCCTTATGCCGAAATCAACAACTACCCCCAAACATTGCTCATACCACATGATCTACCCTGAATTCCTCCATGACCATCGACGATGAGTTCAATGACCCGGAATCGTTTTGCTCGTAGGGGCCTCCGAGAAGCACCCCTCCCATTGCAGATAAAAGGCCACAAATTGGTCGTCTGCCGAAAAAATCGACGCCTGCAACGGTGATCTCGTCGTGGCAATCACCGAAGTCATCGCATGAAACATGATCCCGACCGAAAATCATCAGATTTCGTCGAAAAAATTATTGGAACTAAACCCTAATCAACTAGACATGAAAGTACGGGGAAAAAGATAGATCCCCTCCGCTTCTTGCCCTCAGGAGATACAGTACATCGGAGGAGAGAGGCGCTAGGACGGCGGTGGCAGTGGCGGCAGTGCATAACCCTGCGTGGCGGCGGTAGGCAGGCCCGAAATATGATGCGTTTCTGTGTTGTGAGCACATTATTAATTGATGACTGAAAAGTCAATCGAACGGAAAAGTCAGCATTTCAACCTAGCGCTGAGCCTGCCCTAGCCGCTAGCAGACTGCGACGCGAATTAGGACTGCCTGTGCTTCCATCAGTCAACAGGACGACCAGACCAGCTTTGCTCGTAAATCAAGAACCCAATATTATCTCCTTAGTAAATCTCTGTTTAGTATACATAAATCTCATTGGTAAACGTCGTCTATATTTCTTTTTTCATGGATTCAAGAACCGAATGTCAGAAGGTCATCACGGACTACTTGAGTGCCAGAGATGATTGGCTATCCCAGCTCGATCATGCAAGGTATTAAATGTCCAGATATAGCCGTTTGAGATGGATTTAGCTATATTTTTCTAATATATAATTTAGCTGTTAGTTATCACATAACCCACTATAGCTGGCTATTTGTTGTTTTAGGAGATAGGTCGCTAAATGACTTAGTCGGCGATTTAAAACACTAGGATCATGTCGTCGAGTCCGCACCAACAAGGATCAAGTATTTGTCACTGAACTGGTCAACCCCACCAAGGTGATTTATTCCAATCATCACAGTCCCTGATCCTTTTCAAAATAAAAGAGGTAGGAGGACTCTCTTATATTAAAAAGAAGGTGAGCACAAATAGATTAGAAACAAGATTGTACAAAGAACTATACAAATAGTATAAAAACACTCATTGTCAACCTGTCAAAATCGGAAGATGTTTTGCTTCTATCGTGATCCACACTCCGTTTTTTCATCCTTTATGTTTTGTATTAGACAATTGCAGGCTAACTCTTTGCGATTGAAAATTCGAGCATTTTTCATTCCAAAATTCCTATGAGACTAAGATGATCGGAGAGTGTATTCCTTTCATGGAGTTGCAAGTTACGGTTGAGAGGAAGGTCCACTACTAATGAAGCAAGTCGGCTTGCGGCCAAGAAGCGAAAAGAGGCCACTAAGTCCTATTGAAGCGGCAAGTGCCTCCCAAATAAGTATAGAGTATCTGCAATGGGCAAGGAGGTAGATGACACTATTTGGCTTTCTACGATAGAGGGGGCAAACAACATTATTGGACCATCCTCTTGCCTGAAGCCTAATCTAACGTCCATAGTCTGTTTTTGATGGTGAGCTACGAAGAATTTGCATTTAATTTAGGAGCGGCCCAAACTTTCTATATGAGTGTGTCAAAGTTGGTTTGTTGTTAACCCCAAGAATTGAACTCTGTAAGCTGAGTTTGCAGAATATTAATCATCAACAAAGAGCTTCCAAGAGATCTCATCGGGAACCTCTGGCCATAAATTTACACCATGCACCACACACCATATTGCTAGGCACTCGATGAACTGTTGTGCAGCAAAACCATGGTGCCGCAGGTTAAAATCTTGATCCAATTTTGATTTTGAGTGGCAGCATATATGGATCTATTTTTAATTCATGCCACAATCATCGAAGTCTAAGGCCCCATTTGGTAGGGTTCTTCGCCAGCTTCAGGAGCTGTTTTCTATCAAACAGGGTAAAATGAAACGGCTTCAGTGGTGAAGCCCCATAAAAACATGGTCTCATAGACGTTTGGGGTGGGATGGAGAAAAAAGTGACTTCACTTGGCTTCACATTGCCCACATGGACCCAGGCCGTCCAGAGACATGTTTTACCCCTATCACGGGGCACGGGTGTGCGCGGCCATGGGGCACAGCCGCTAGGGCGCACGGCCATTGGGGCGCGGCCACTTGGGCACAGCTACTGGGGCGAGCGGCCACCGGGTCACTTGGCCGCCTGGCCGCGGCCTCCGGGGAGGGGCGGGCGTGGGGAGGCCGTGGCTGCTGGGCGCGAGGGCAAGGAGGGCGTGGCCACCGGAGTTGCATGGACGGGCCAGAGTGATCACACGATCCACCATGGAAGAAGGAAACGAGCGGATAAAGAAAAAAAGGGAGAGGAGAAAAAAAAAGGGCATTATCGAGGTACTAAAGCGGCTACAGCTCCACCGAGAGAGCTGTTCGTGGCATTGAAACAAAAAAACGGCTTCCCTAGTAAAGTGGAGCCATGCCAAACGAGGCCTAAGCGTCCTTGCAAACCTTTCCAAGTATAGGATCTCTAGGCCTCTAGATGGCCTGTCTTGCACGACCCCAATTAATTTTGCATTTTTCCTCCCGTCAAAACTTAAAAACTGGCCCACAGAAATTGTTGTCTTTTATTGTCAAATTTCGTCCAGCACCTCCATGGGTGCCTGCTGAGCGGTGGGAAGGTAAACCGGTCGTGAAGTGAGCACAGATTTGTAGAGTGAGCCGTCATGCTAGAGTCGTGTTTTTTTCTATTCCAAGATGTGAATTTGCTAACCGCTTTATCAACAAGGAACTGAAGGTCAACACACGGCTAAGTCGCGAAGTAGTGAGTGGTAATAGTAACTTGATAAGTTGATGCTGTTCTGCTGATCGATCTCCATTGCAGTTTTGCAGAATGCAGAGGCATGGGCCCTTGGGCTTAAGATGAATCATTGATACATTTCCCTCACCAGATTCAAAACTTAGGTCACAAACTAAACTGGTATCCACCCGGAAGAAGCAAGAGATGTTAAAATCTGTCATGATAAGAAAACTACTGCAAATGTGGATCGATAGTACGCTCTAAGTGTAATGAACTGTAACAACTGAGCATTTATTTATAGTGGTGAAAAATAAGCTACAATTTCCATGTTCGATTTCACACCGCATGTCCGCATCTGCTAGCGAGAAATTAAGCATTTCTCTGACCAAACCGCCGTTCTCTGCTCTGGAATGAGCTCAGCGCCTGCAGGTACTCGGTCTCCCCAAAATCAGGCCACATCACGTCGGTGAAGTAGAGCTCAGAGTAGGCGGACTGCCACATCAAGAAGTTGCTGAGCCTCACCTCGCCGCTGGTTCTGATGACCAGGTCGGGGCACCAGAACTCGACTCCGGCGACGCTTGTGGCGAGCTTGCTCGCAAGCATCGCCTCGTCGATGTCCTCCGGCCTGAGTGTCTTGCCCTGCACTTCCCCGGCGAGCGCTCTGCACGCCTGCACGATGTCCCATCGCCCGCTGTAGCAGGTCGCCAGCATCAGGTGGAACTGCGAGTTGTTCCTCGTCATCTCCTCCGCTTCCCGAGCAGCGTTCTGCAGAGAAGACGGACGTCTTGAGGGGTCTCCGATGACATGCATCCGAATCCCGTTGCTGTCCAGGTCAAAATCACGGGCTCATTTGATGATGTGCATTTTGCAGTACGTACCAAACTAACTTCGTATGTCACTGTGTGTGATGTGCGATCTGCTGTGCAAATGCACGCTCACCTCGCGTACTCGTCGATGTTATCGCGGATCGTTCGCTCGATCATTCCCATCAAGTAATCGACCTCCATCTTCAGATTCAAAGGAATGCAAGAACAGTGTATAAATAAACACAAGATCTGTTCGCGTCGGGGCTGAAGAAAGTAAAAAAGTTAATTAGTGAGGGGAGTGAAGAGATCCATGCCTTGGGGCGCCCGAAGTTCTCCTGGGAGAATGCGAACACCGTGAGCGCGCGGATGCCCCAGGCGTGGGAGCGCCATATCGTGTGCTCCAGCGCACGACGGCCAGCCTCGTGGCCCTCCGCCGTCAGCATCCCCCGCGCCTTCGCCCATCGCCTGTTCCCGTCGGTCACCACCGCTACGTGCCGCGGCAGCGACTCCGGCCGGATCCCGCTCTGGACCAGCGCCTGAGGCGGAGGAGCGACGACGGCGCCCGCGCCGGCGTGCAGTCTGCAAGCCTGGTGGCGCGTGCGGCGAGCAGTAACAGACAGAAAGCGCGACAGCATCGTGGGAGCTTTGGGTCTGGCGTTCTGGGTCTGCTCTTGGTCTCAGCTTCTGAGCCTCTCAGTAAGTCAGTAGTAAATTTAGGCAAGGGCGATATGCCTAAAGATTCTCTTCTTGGGAGAATATAATATGTATGTAGGCATGATGTGTTTGCCTTTCTTTTTCGTTTTCAAAACACTATAATTGTCTTGATTGGCTAGCTAGTAGCTACGTACACCAGACTTGAAAGGTGCAAGTTTCTCTAGGGCCAGGCTCGCTAAATACAACCAATTATCTAAAAAATAACATTATTAGTGTATGATTAGCGTATATTAATTGATACTAATGTATTTCAAAACATTATAAGCAAAATAGTTGCATAGAATAATAACGTGATTATGTTTATTTACTTAAATTTACCCATACAATATATTCTTGTGCGAGCAATGACCACTATCCCAATTTAGACAGGCTAGCTAGGTGAAAGCAATTAAACACAACAATTTGCATACACTTAGCCTACCACTAAGGACCTGCCTCCCATATATGAGCCGGACTTGGCTAATACACAACCCAGTCCAGACCTATATATGCAAACGCTCGGGTCATGTTTTTGGTTAGAGAATTCAAAATTCTGCTTTGTAGCTTGTGGACTGTTAGAAATAGAAATATAGGATCAAAAAAAAAAACTACCCATTCATTCTAAATTATAACATTTTAACTTTTCTAGTTATATCGTTTTTACTATGTATTTAAACATAATGTACAGCTAAGTACATAGTTAAAACTATATTTCTAGAAAAATCAAAATATTTTATAATTTGGAATAGAGAGAGAGCATGTATCTGTTTGGCACTCTGGATACTAGGGTTTGGGTTGGTGCTTTCAGATATAAAAGAAAATATACAACCCTTGAACCTTTTGGGTGGCAAAATCTACCATTTTGGAGACCACTTGTACAAGCAGCCGCGGAGCCTATCCTCTGGCTTTGCTGCTTTTCGCTGCGTTGGGATGCGATAAAAGGTTCCAGGTGGCGTGTGAAAGGTTCTAGAACATACTCCCTTCTAGAGTTATATTAAGTTATTTTTTAAGTTTGACTGAATTTATACTAAGACTTACGAAACCAAATTAGTATTTAGATACATTATAAAGTATATTTCTATAATATGCTCATTTATTGTCATAAATTTTTGTTCTCTTTTCGATAAATTTAGCCAAACATAAAAAAAATTCACTTAAAACTCTAGGAATTGATTTATACAGGACGGAGGGAGTAAAATTTTCTATATGAAAACATAGGTGGTGCTCCATAAGTAGCTCTACTGGTGGAGATAAATCTGTTTTGAATTTTTTTTTTGATAAAACACCTTCTAATAGTAGATATGAAATAGAGGGCTTAGAGAAAATAATATTTTTAGCTTCATTGGGCATCCACCTCTTCTAAGACCATGTTTTAAGGGGCTCCACTTCAGGAGCTATTTCTTTTTCACCTGTTTCACAAAAAACTACAAACAGTTCCTGAAGCTGGTGGAGAAGTTGCATCAAATGGGGCTTTATTTCGCTTCCACGGGCCACCTATCCTATTTCATGCTTTTCTTCTAGGCTCTTCAACTACTCTTTTTTCCTTTTACTTTAAATTTCGTTGGGTGGAGGTATGAAAGTGCTTTGATCATGAATGGTTTACTATATTAAAAGTTTAGTTTAAGCTATATTATCTTAATTTCTTGGAAACATTTTATTCTCGTGTTTTAGTTTTTTGCTTGGACTTTTTCATCTTTCACTAAAATAATTAAAATTTCAGTTTTAAGTACTCCCACCATCCAAAAAAAAACAGATTTAATTTTGTTCTAAGTCAAACTATCTAAAGTTTGACCAAATTTATACACTATAAAACAAATGTTTGTATTACTAAATAAGTATCATACATTCCTCCATGCAACATATTTTTACAGTATATCTATTTAGTACCATAATTGTTAGAAAATGTTTCTATAGAATTTGTCAAATTTAGAACAATTAGATTAAGGAGAAAACTAAAACATTAAAGTTTTTTTATTAGACGGAGGGAACGGTAGTATAAGCCACACAGCCCATTAGCCCATGCCAAACAAAACAAAGCCTCTGCTTGCCTTCATAACGGCCCATAACAACCCCCTGCAACAGCCTAGCTTTCAGGGTTGGGACGATCCGCCTTCCCCCTCGCCGGCGCCACTGCGCTAGCGTGCGCAACTGCGCGGACATGGCTGCGGTCAGAGCAAGGCCGTTCCGCCGTTGGTGCCACGGAAGGTGAAGCTCGAGCGTCGCGGCCCGCCTCCTTGTCGACAACCCGCAGGCGGAGGTTGCTGCCGCTGCGATAGAGTTGCTCTCCGCCTTGATGGAGTGCCCCGTACCGGCGGCTTCTTCCTCGCCACGCCGGATCCAACAAGGTGTGTACATACGCTAAGGCTTACACTTCAGATGCGGGCATGAGGCGCAGGAGGAAGCGTTCTAGCCTCAGCCGAGTCGAATCGATTTCGATTGCCCTGTAGAGTTCAGAACCTACTGTATTTAGTTGGATAATTGCATTGCCCAACCCAGTAGTATGGATTTTGGATGCTATGTGAGGACCGGACTGGATAAAAACTTATCTACAGTAAACATAAACTAATCAGGGATTAATTAGGCTTAATAAATTCGTTTTGTGAATTAGTCCCGACTTATGCAATTAGTTTTATAATTATTTAATGTTTTTTTAACTATAATTATCTAATGTTTAGTCCTCCTAATTAACATCTAAATATTCAATGTGACGGGTAGGGATCCAAACACGGCCGTATCCTTCAGCTAAAGTTTAACCCAGATCAAATCGGATGTTTGATGTTAATTAGGGAGACTAAACATGAGTTAATTATAAAACTAATTCTATAAGCCGTGACTAGTTCGCGAGACGAATCTATTAACTCTTATTAATCCATGATTAGCATATGTTTACTTTAGCATCACGTGGGCAAATCAAGAACTAATTAGGTTTAATAGATTCATCTCACGAATTAGTTTTTATTTATGTAATTAGTTTTGTAATTAGTCTATATTTAATACACCTAATTAATATCAAACATTTGATGTGACGAGGACTGAATCTTAGTCCGGGGATCAAACACCCTATGCCGCGAACTCTTTGCACCTCTTGAAAGAAAATGAACAAATGGAGGCAAAATTACTTGATTCCTCCACGTTTTGGTGTTTATGGTTGACAATGACATGCCTATTGATATCCAGTTCAAACGTGCCCGTCGAAATTGTAGTTACTTGCTCGTTCTTTTTTTAACTATTGATGTAGCCTTGTAGGTAGTTTCCATTAAATAAACGACCCGTCTCTAGAAATTCATTTTTAGGGATGACTATTATTTTCTAGAAATTTCGCTATCTTAGAAATCGATTGGTAGAGACGGCTGGATCTAGAGTCATTTCTAAGAATAGGTGAAATACACTAAAATTTATAGCTTTTTCAAACGAAATTAGATGAAGATAAACTTTATAGTTTATATCAAATTTGAAATCGGTTGGATCCCACAAATTCTGTTTCAAGTTCACATATTTTGATTTTCAAAACTTTCAGATTTTTCAAATGGACTCAAATGGAGAAATGATCAAAACTAAAATTATGGATTTGAAAAAGATCTGAAACGTTGTGGTTGATAACCTTTTTCATTTAAAATAATCTATGGTCCCAAAATTTAATTTGAAGTCTTTCACATTTTCAAATCTAAAATTTCTAAACGACCTCGGATGGAGAAACGACATAAACCAAAGTTGTAACTCTCGAAGAGCTCTACAACTTTATAGTTGACAACTTTTTTCACTTAAAATCATTTATCTAAGAAAAATTATGTTTAAACTTCTCACATTTTGAAATTCAAAATTTCTAAATGATCATGGATGGAGAAATGACAAAAACTAAAGCTATACTACTTGATGATATCTACAACTTCTAGTTGAAACCTTTTTTATTTGAATTCGTTTAGGGTCTCAAATATTTATTTCAAAATTCAATAAAATGAATACGAAAGGAAAGGAAAGTATCTACCCTACTGTAACAAGTGAGTTTGGGATGGAATGGTTAAGAGAGGTACGCATAGTGCTTGAGGTAATGTGTTCGAATACCATCTGCCACATGTCTACACGTATTTTATGTGAAAAATCACATGACTCGTGACTTGGGGCACACAACCATGAGTTTATTTGGTGGGAGCTTCTGCGAATAAAAAAAATTGTTAGTTTTCGGTCTGATTTGTGATTTCTAAAAAATAATTTTGTTTCTCAGGAGCAGCTACAAATGTTGATTTGTAGAGACAGACAAGATCCCGCCTCTATAGAGGCTTACTAGGATGGAGGAAAATAGTGACAAGATATATAGTGATCAAGTGAACCAAACCCATGTTTAATAATGAAACAAAAATTAGTTAAGAAACAACTAAGCCAATGTAATGTTCCTTTTGTGATTGCTAAAAAATAATTTGTAGAGGCGACTAGAGATTTCGAACCATCTCTACAAATCGATTTGTAGAGACGGCTCATGTTTCTTCTGGCCTTTGCAAACTGATTTCTAAGGGCAGTTACAAATTGTTGATGTGCAGAGGCACACGGGTAGAGGCGGCCGCATCTACAGAGGCTTAATGGCACAAAAAAAAATAGTGACAAGATATATACTGATCAGGTGAATCAAACCCAGATGTTTAATAATAAAACAAAAATTAGTTGAAAAAAACGGCTAATCCAATGTAATGTTCCTTTAAACAGAATGATTCGTGCAGTGGTGTACACTTACACGAGTTATAATAAGAAAACAAACTCGCTACTGGAAGTCTACAACTAATCCCTGCTTGTTATTGAGTACGACGCCAAAGAAAGCACAAACCACTACTGAATGAAGCTAAGGAGTGTGCCACATTGCATTACACATTCTGCGGCTAATAACATTTTTTTAGGGGATTCTGCGGCTAATAACTGCTATTCTAAACTTACTCAATTCCTACCTCCAACT